TGTACTTAAGTACAGTAACGAAGTACTTGTACTTCGTTACTTCCCACCACTGCTTCACACATGCCGCTGCTTACCCATAGTGCCGAATAAAACGTCTGATTGGCTGTTTGACTCACAGGATGTAATGAAGTTGGTCCAGCTGGCTGGCAGGAAGGTGTAGGAAAGAGGCCGATACTCTTCGCAACACCTCTGCAGAGGCTTGTGGGCCGCTCCGGATTAATGGGAAGATAAGTGTGAAAAAGAGAAGAACAGGGGAGGGCTTGTGTGTGTGTGTGTGTGTGTGTGTGTGTGTGTGTGTGTGTGTGTGTGTGTGTGTGTGTGTGTGTGTGTGTGTGTGTGTGTGTTCTGGTGGGCTGCTGTGCTCGTTTCTATGTAGGTGTGTGCTGTTTATGTGGATAGTTTGCTCAAAGAAAAGCTTTTTGTCTTTTTGAGTCTCGGTCCGGTTCTCAGTCTGAGTAAAAATTGGTCCTAGAAAAGGTGCAAAAATACTAAATCTGCCTGCAGAATCTCTCAGTTCTTTGATTTTACATATGAGGACAATAAAAATGAGCATAAATAAATAAATTATACATATTCCTTACTGTCGGTGTTTAAGCAATCTGTGAGGGAAAAACAAGTAGATCTGCAACTAACAATTAGATCATTGGAAGCAAAGGAAGCGGAAAAAAACTCAGACCCACAGGCTGATGTGTTGATTAGTTTTTGGATTAACTGGTTAATAATTGGAAAGCTGAGCATAATTAATAGCTTTGTACAGACTTGGAATCAGATGAAGCTAAAACTACGAGAATGTTTGGGTGCAACGTATTCAGACACATTTTTATTATTTATATATGCGGTACAGTTTTGGCTCGATTGCTGCTCTGAATATGTAGATTTTGTAAAGTAGTATTTTTCTGAGTCTGTACACTAAAGTTAGCGATTGATTGATTACTAAATTACTTGATGATTAATCTAGATTAAGCCGATTAATTTAATAAAACAAACTTTTTCTCAGTTTAATTTCTCTTAGTCGCTCTTCCATATGGATTCACACTTAAATAGTTGCAGCTCAGCAAGTTGGAGAAAAAGCCAGAGAAACGGGATGAAATCATTGCTGATAAACCAATACATCAAACACTGCTTACTGCGTGGTTTTGTTGTTAATTGTTTCGTGTGTGTGAGTGTGTGTAGTAATCCATCTTGGAAGAAAGAGAAGAAAACTTGGAGTTTCTCCAAAGCAGCCCAGATGCATCTACTTTCCTCCTCTGTTGCTGCAGAAAAACAATGCTAATGCTAACGCTAATGCTGGTGCAGGGAAACCTGAGCAGATCAGCACAGTAAAGGCAGCACTGTGCTTTACTGTAAAAATGGGACATTACATTATTAACAAATGAAATGTTAATATTTATTAACACAGGACTAAAATAGTAAGCTTGAGCTAGATCGCTAAGTTGTTAAACGCTTAAACGCTGAAAGAAGCAAAAGGTTTGCACCAACATGATGTCTTCAGACTTGCAGGATGTTTGAAAACCGTCTCAACAAATTCACGAATTCAGGAAGGACTTCTTTAAAAACATCGACGGCCTTTCAATCAAAACACTCGGGTATTTCCTGGATCCGGCTGCTCGCCCCGTTACACTGACTGCTGCAGGAAAAGGACGTGATGTAAAGAAACCTGCCGGGGAAAGCAAAGAGAGTAATTTTCATGTTTGTCGGTTCCCTCGGTGTCGTTTCTGGAGACAAAAAACTGAGAGAAATGAAGAAATAAAATGTCAGCAACGGGGTGAAAACAGGGCAGCAGAAGAGCTGAAGTTTGTTTGACAGTTTGACAAATGACAGCAATCAAAAAGAGATGTTGGGGGAAGAAATTAATCACAGACTGGAACCAGATGGAGGTTTTATTAAGAAGCAGCAGACATGAGATGGAGAGGGGAAACACCCAAACCAGAAACAGAAGGGATCAAAGTTTAGGACTGTTTCTAAAGTAATAAAATGATTAAACAAGAGATTTAATATGTTTCTGTGGTTACAGGATTTCAGACAGACCTGTTAGTAATAAAAGATGGTCACAGACATAAGGATACGTAATTATTAATGATGGGACTTTATGTAAATTAAGTCATTTCAGGTTCCCTATTTAATTAGTCGCATTTTAATCAAATGTTATGAACATTTTCTATTCAAAAACCTTTTACTGCTAAATTATTGAATAAATAAAGCTGTAAGCTCAACCTGTAAGCTATTTATTGTCTTTTAATCTGTTTTTTTAATGTTATTTAACCATCAGTGCCAAATCCTGATCATTCATGAAACTTCTTTGAAATAATATTTCTGTCTGTGCTGCTGCTACATGTTTAGCATTGAGATTATTTTAGTCTTAAAAAGCTTTGCTGACTCCTTTCAGCACCTTTTGGATACAACAACAGTCTTTTCCAGCATCCATCAGATTCTGTTTTAAATAAAAATTAATCCCCTTTGGGCCAATAGAAGCAGCTTTATCATAAAATGCTAACGTTAGCGGATGTAGGTTGTGCGTCAGGTTTAGGGGCATACCAGAAACGCACTACAAAGGTTCCGGCTTGGGACTTTCATTAAAAAATTAAAATTAAAAAATAAAAGCAATTTATTGTGTTAAAATCTGTGTGATGAAGTAATTGAAAGTCCCAGCTCTAATAATTAAAGATGAAGCAAAAGCAGTGATGCCTAAAACAAAACAAAGTCTAATATTTCTCCCTAGCCAGATGTTTAGAAGGAGTTTGTAAAACAAAATATTCTGTAGATGGACGAGACAAACGTGGACGTTTTTTAGACACATCTGTCCTCTTGTGCTGGACATTAAACCAACACATTTTAAAAATAAACCCATCATAACAGTCAAACACGGTGGTGGGAGTGTGATGCTCTGGGACTGCTTTTCTGCTTCAGGACCTGAACGACTTTCTGTGTTTGATGGAACCACAAATTCTTCTCTCTACCAGAAAACCCTGAAGCAGAACATCCAGATATCAGTTCATGACTTCAACTCTACTCCACTTCTGAGTGGCTCAGATTAACAAAATAAAGAGTTTCGAGTGGCCTAGTCAAAGTCTGGACTTGTATTCAATTGATACAAGTCAACAGGCCTGAAAAATTTCCTATATGGCTCAAATTAAAACATTTCTGCAAAGACGAGCTGGTCAGAATGGTCAAAAACAGATTTCCTGCTAGCAGCTAGCAGTAGCTGCTCAGTCAGTCTGTTATTGGGTTTTAATAAACCGGCCTGGTTCTGTGCCCACATGCTGGTCCAGCCCGTTTCTGTGCGTGTCTCTGTGTGGACATTGAATCATTTAAAAGTCTTTTTCTGTCCTTGGGGCCAGAGTTACCTGCAGTCTCGCTAAATTATACATTTAGAGCAGTCTCAATAATAAATAGATTGTGGGTCGTCATCCCGCCGGGGCCTGTTTTAGTACAAACACGGGCTTTATTGGGACCGGTAACGCTGTTTGGATCCCGGCCCGGTCCTAATGAGGCAGAACGAATCGTCCGAAACAAAAGCAAGTCGATGCGGCGTCCTAATAAGGTCGGCTGCAGCGAACCGTCGGCTGCAGCTGGATAATAAATCCACCTGCTTTTTTTGTTGTTTGTTTTATTCGTTGCTTTGTGAATTATTGCTTTAATTGATCCTTCAACATGTTATCACGCTCTGAGATTTACACACAAATCTACGTGAGGACGTTCTGTTTTCCCTTCGCTGCTCCTCAAAGATCTCATCTAAAAGTCCGACCTTTGACCCTAAACATAAATTTTAACCTTTACAAACTCTTTGAAGTGACAGGAAAGCATTTAGTGGAGGCAGACCGTCCTTGTTTTTATGTCCTTCGCCTCGGCCTGAGCCTCACAGGAATCACTCAGCAGCTGCACACACACATTAGCTTTAGCTCTGTTTGGAAACGGCTCTTTTTTGCTAATTGTTTCATGAAGCTGCTGCAAATTGCACGCATGCACAAATCCACAGAAAGTGTCACTAATCTGATCAGCAGCCAAGCAGGAGAAAGTGGGACACAGAAAGCTGCTGCCGGATTTTTTTCAACCCGTCTCCTCGCTTTCTGAATGCGGTTACGCAACGCGCTTTCTCCGCTGTTCTCTCTGTGTATCACCTCGTAGTGTGCACTTCTGCTTTCTATTTCTGAGCAACATTGATGTATTTCAAGCGTTTTTCTCTTTGTGCCAGAATGGATGTAAACCTCTGTGAAAAGTTAAAATACAAAAGAAGCTCCCAGAGATGCACTTTTCTTTTGTTGCTTTCTTTTTGTGTTTATCATTTCCAAACGGTGATGAGTTGATTCTTTTGCAGGTTCCTGAAAGGCTATTTTCAGCGCAGCGCGGTTTTAATCGTTTAAACCTCATGCCAGTGTGCTCCGTTGCTGCTTGAAATGAACTGAGCTGAGTAGGGGGAGTGGGTGTATGAAAAAGAACTGGCACCAGACAGATGAATAAAAGTTATGCAAAGAGGCGAATACAATAAGAGAGGACAAAACTGTAAAACAGTGAAGCAGGAAAACCGAGCACTCCTCACGAGAAGCTGCAAAATATATTAAAAAAACTAAAACTCTGAATACCAACCTGAACAAACCGTCCCATCCCCATGTTTAAAACATGGCAGTGGTAGCGTCATGCTGTGGGGGTTCGTTTCTCCAGCAGGATCAGAGAAGCTGGTCTGATTTGATGGAAACATGGAACCAAGAAGCTGCAGAAGATTTAAGACCAAAACATGCAGCCAAAGCTGATTTACATTAAAACATGTTCATGTATTAGAATGGCCCAGTCAAAGCCCAAACCCTTATCTAATAGAAAATAGCATTTTACATTCTGTGAAGTAGAAACAGCAAAAGTTTCAGTGTCTAGATGTGCAAAAAGGATCACCACGGTTTTCACATTATTTGAAATAAATGTTTGAAACTGTCATTTTTAATACACACAAAGTATTCATTATTCTTTTTTTTTGCTTTTTAAACACAGCAGAGTCCTTTATTTATCCTGCTGTAACGTGAACAGGTAGAAGCAGCATAAATACTTCTGTGAAACCCTGTGAACATGCGACTAAGAGGACAGAAACTCGAGTGTGAGCCCAGAAAGTGAATTAGCGTTAGCGTGACTTTGGGTAAGCTGATTGCTTTCTTTTAACATTGAGGGCAGATTACATCATGCTGTAGAGAAATTAAATTACCCAGCACTGCTGAGTGTGTTTCTGAGATCACAGCAGAAATTGGCCTATTAATTGAATTAGCTGGGAAGCAGCTTTTTGGTAACGCAGTCGAAGAGACTGAGGTTCAGGGCCTTTGCAGCAGGTTAGCTCAGCTTCCCTTCCTGCGACTCGCTTCTGTTTTTCAGCCTGGATGTTTCTGGTGAGGGTCGCAGCAGGAGAGGCGAGGCAGCGCAAAACAAGTTCATTACTTTTTTTTTTTTTTTTTTTTTGCACAAAATCATTTTTAGATTATGAGATTTCAGCCGTTTTAGGGCGTCTCGTCACTTTAAATCCAAATCAGCTGCTTTTGGCCAACTCGACGTTTACACTCTCGTGAGAACTGCTGCAAACAGAAGCGCAATTATACCACCGTGCATCTGTGAAAAGCTTTAGTTTTTGCTTCAAGTAGTTTCTGGATGGTAAGTGAACAGCAAAACATTTCTCTCGTTCTGCTTTGGTTGCTAGGCGACGGCCTGGGCTGGCTGGGGTTGCTAGGTAACGGCGCAGTTTGACTCGACACTCGGGAGAATTTTGAAACGGTTCATTTTCCAGACAGCAGAAAACATGAAGTTATTCCCAGAAAACGGTTGGTTGGTTGTTTTTGTTTAGGCGCTTGTGCTGTTTTTGGAAGCAGCAGAAACACAAACGGAAGTACAGAAATATGCAAATGTGTGTTTTGCATAATAAGTTCCTGGGAGCAGAACATGCAAGCAGCAAAGAGCTGACTTTCCTACTTACAGTATCAACTGAAACATCATTTTCTATGTTTTCATCATGGAAACAAGTTTGAATTGTTGTTTCTAACACAAAAACTTTGCCTTATGTGCCACAGAGCAGCCCGGATTACAAACCATCATATATGAATACTATTATTTACCTCTTTTATAGCCTTTTAAATAATATTTAGCTTTTTAAAATTGGATGAAAACCATTTGTTGTACATTAAAGGACAATGCTGCAGTTGTTTAAATCGTTCTTATTGTCTCTGCTGCCTAAATACAGCAGGTAACACTGGAGATCATATTATAAATGTTTTAGTACAACAACCTTTGGTACAAAACTTTCAGCAAGCGGGTTTTAAAAAAAGGCCATCGGTCATGTTAGACGCAACCCAAAATGATCCTCATATATTTCTTGGTGATTGTGCTGGAAGTGGCTGCTGTCTTCTAGTTTCTAGCCTCCAGTTTGCCCAGATTAGATGGAGCAGAAACGAAGCTCTTTAATTTTACAGCCATTACAGTCATTTACAACACATGGCTGCCTCCTCACTAAATGTGCTACGCTTGGCAAACTTCTAATGCTGGCAGCAGTTTGAATATTTAAAGCGCCTGGACTGAGACCTCAACAGTCGACGGAGTGAACCGGATGTGAGAGCTTTGAGTGAGAGTCTGACATTTGGGCTCAAATTCAGTTCGGTTCTGCAGACAAACGGAGAGCAAATGATTGGGTCTGCGTTTTATCCCCTCTGGTAGCTGTGTTTACATTCTAGTACTCTCTGTGTGGTGGTAGCAGCGGTTGTTATTGTTTTATTAATGAAAACGGGACAATTCCCTGCAGTCTGCAGATCCATGTTGCCTCATTCAAAATGAAAGAGCGTGTGTGTGTGTTCGTGTGTGTGTTTTGTTGGACCCAGAAACGGCTCAGTTTTGTGTTTAGCTGACTGGAAGATGACTCTTTTTAACCTTATGGGTGCTTCCTCTAACAGTTTATGGGCTACACAAAACGTGTTCATTACAATTTTTTGCTTAAAATCCTTCTTAGATCAGGAGATTTTAGTTTGCTCAGTCCTGCCTACTTTGAAAAGCAGAAGTGGAGCCTCCTGCACAACCATCAACAATGTAGCAAGTGGTTTCTGGATGGTTAGTCAACAGCTAAGCGTGTCATAATAAACAAATCAATTAATCGCATGATAAATGAACACCAGCTCAATAATTTCCATTTGCATGAATTTGTCGTTTGTCTCATTTTCCTCTTTCTGTCAAAAACTGGATAACAAAAGTCTTGAGTCTGGCGCTTTGTTTCAACTAGACAATTTTGTTTACTTCATAGCTCATTTTACTTGTTGTGTCTGTTGTTTTTGTTCATTTATTTCGGATATTTAAAATGTCTTTCAGTTCCAGTGTTAAATGTTCATTAGCATTTTAAGTTTATTGATCTTTGAGAATGTGTTCTCGCATTATTAAGCCATTACCATTAAATTACTTGAAAATGGCCTCAAAACAACAATACTTTTGTTTATCGCAATAACTTCTGGGACAATTTATTGTCTATTACAGTTTGTTATTGTGGCAGGCTACAAAAGAACAAAACACAGCAGTCAGTGTAGTGCGGTAAAACCAGCTGACCAAACATGCTGGAGTTCCACTTTGGTTGCTAGGTAACGAACTGAGCTCGGCTGGGGTTGCCAGGTAATTGTGAAATGCAGCTCAACAATTGGGAGGTTTTTGTGAAGCAGTTTGTTTTCCAGACATCAAAAAACATGAAGTTATTGCCAGAAAAATGGCTGGATGGTTTTGGTTTTATTAGTATTTTTAAGCGCCTGTGTTGTTTTTGTAAGCAGTAGAAACTCAAAACAAAGTACAGACACATGCAGAATTTGAACTTTTTGCATAATAGGTTCCCTTTATGTTCCCTACATGAGTGCTTTACAGTCAACTCATGTAAAGCACTTTGAATTGCCTTGTTGCTGAAAATGTGCTATATAAATAAAATTACCTTGCCTTACCTTTAAAGTGAAGCAAAACTAGAATACAAGCAGCTACTCGTGTTTCTTTGTGTTTTATTACCTTACGGTTTATGGCGGTGGAGCGGTTCCTGCATTCTTCCATAACTTAACTCTCACTTCTCGAAGCCTCTTTACGTTCCTCCTCCTTTGCGTTGCTGCGTTCGACCCGGTCCAGTGTAAACAGTCTTGTGTTGGTGTTCTGGCAGCTCTTGGGTCAGCAGCCACTACCTGTCCGTGGGCGAACGCGGAGCTGCAGTCCTTGTGTAACGCCTGCCCTGCCCGGTGTCACGTAACCTGCAGAAGCTGCAGCAGCGGAAATGCAAATTATGTAAAACCCCATTCATCCTGCTGCGCGGAGCACGGCCGCTTCTCTCCAGCAGGTTATCGTGAGTCATCAGAGCTCCACCGGTCCAGCTGTGAGCAGCTCAATAAACGGGAATTTAGGACCAACTTTTCCACTTGGACAGTTTCCCAGTGTACGCCTCGTCCCTGGAGGATCCACCAGATAACTCTCTGCATTCGTTAACGATTAGGAAGAGAAGGAAGTTTTTTAGGGGGGTTTTTGTGCCTTTGCTGCTGCAGTTTATAGGAGAAAAGATGAAATAAGAAGAATATATTAATAAGAATGATGTTTAGCATCAAAGCAGTTTTATTTTTTTGGTCATTCCTGGACGGAGTCCACTGATTTTATCACTTTAGAGTCTGCAGGCTGCCAGCAGGGCACATTTCATGGACTGTTTTGTTCCGGCTGCTGTTGTGTGTGGATCTGGTGCTTGTGTAGGTGTTGTTTGTTTTAGCTGTCTGCAATTTAAATGTTTGTTTTTTTTCTGATTTCTTCTTTAAAAGACTCTTTCAAATCGGTTTAAAAGACGTGCAACACATATTTCCAAATCATTTCTCATGTTTTTTACTTACTTAGTTATACTTATAGTTATACTTTAGGCCCAAAACTGTCCCTGTCATAAAAGTGATAAAACATTTCTGGTTTTTTTATTCTTAAAAGTATAAAATCCTTTCAGCTGCTTCAACCTAAACATAGATATAAAGGTATTTTACTACATAGTCCTGACTTAAGATATTTTTTTCTTTACTGTTTTCTAACAAAAGTCTTTTTTCTGATGGGAATGACTCAAAACAGTCGACTTGTTGTAAATTTGACATGTTTGAACCCAAAAATGCAGAAAAGCAAATATGCAGCCGTTTTTTTCAAACGGACCAAGCAAGGACCAGCAATGTGATAAACAGAAATAGTGAAATGTAAAATGTTCATTTAGATTAAATAATATGAAATTTATGTTTCAGACAGTCTATAATATTTATTTTCGTTTTGGTGAAATTTTCAGTCATTGAATTTTTCAAAAATAAAATTAACTCAGATTGATGTGATGTTTTAGTTCAACCAAAAATAAAATTTATTACAAATACAATAAACCACTTTCTACTCTCTACAGTTTTGGTTCCTCTCCCCGTACCAATATCTTTTTCTCTTATGTTTGAGGTTTTTCAATTAAGAAAGATATATATATATATATATATATATATATATATATATATATATAACTTTTTTTAGCTTTTGGGTGACTAAAAGTGATGTTAGAGTAGCTAAATCATCAGTTAGCATTATTAATTATTGCAATCAGGTAACAAATGTTCACACATATTCCAGCATACAAACAAAAGTCAACCTAGCATAGCTTAATTTATGCTCGTCGCAATCTTTCAAAACTTTGTACCTCATTTACTTAGGTATTTGTTCAAACTATCATTTGCAATAATTTAGATTTTAAGGGTTAAATAAAGATCTATTTGACGGTGAAGTGTAATTTTCTGTCACTTTCATTTATTTTCTTTACTGAAAACATTCTTGTCCAGGTCCTTTTAAGCCATTTCCAGCCGACGGTAAAAGCCGTGTCTGTTATATAAAGCTGCTATTGGATTAGCATGAAAGAGTGTGGTTTTCTGCCCTGCAGGCACTCTGAGATTAAGTTTGAGACTTTATCCTGTGCCGTTTTCACACCACTGCCCTGGCCTGCTGGGTGAGAGAGGCAGCAGAGCAGACGGAGCGCGGTAATCAATTTAAAACGGACCGGAAATTTATCATCGAGTTGAAGGGTGTTTCCCCAGTTTTCAGGAGTAAAATGACATGTAGTAAAAGAAACCATGGATGGAGGGAAGCATAGTTGGGTGAAGAAATGACCTAAAGTACCAGTGAAGGCCGTATAACTGCTAATCTACACTAAACTAGTCAATATATTGGCATTAACATCTGTATTATCTCAGGGTTTTGAGTGTTTTTCCAGTTCAAGTCATATTTTATGGTTTAATAAGAAAACTTTATATATTTATAATGAATATTTTCTCCCAAAATTGAATTTGATCCGTACCATTTGACGCTATTTTCCCATCTTGACCACCATTTCCATTATTCATCTTTTAGGCATGACGATGCTTAGATGGCTAAGCTGAACTTTAAAAACGTAGTAAAAACCTTCAACATGGATAAAGATGCTTTAAAACCAAAGAATTGTTTTTTTTTAAAGATGTATTGAAAATGCCTTTGAGGGTGCTGCTGTGACCTTTCAAATTGAATTTTAAAGATGGACGATGATGAGATACAGCAGTGAAGCCTGACCCAAAGTTTGGTTGAACTGGTTTTATTTAAACTAAGAGCAGACAGACCGATGAGAGTAGATGTTAAACGTGTCGTTATTTACCGAATGTCAGTTCCTGACAGCAGTCATTCATAAAGACTCCTTCAGGTTTATGACATGTCAGTCCAGTGTTCCCGCTCCCTCCAAACTCTGCGGAGTCATTTCTTGGTCGGCTACTTTTTACTTCTTCTAGAGGAAAACCTTGTTGAAGTGTCGCTGCTCTTGCTAGAGTAAAATCTTCTTGTACTTTCCCTCCTCTGGTAACACCTGCACCGCATTGTTGCCACTGCAGTCCAACTTTAGTCTATCGGGTTCGGATTGGAAGCGACCGGATCGCCCACCGCTCACTGATTCACCGATTCCTCCTGGACTTTGTGTTTATGTTGATCATCCTGCGGCTCCCGGCTGATTTCCACTGACCAGCGATGATGAACACGCCACCCACCGTCCTCCATCGCGTTACGCAAGTGGAGCTGATCCGTAGGTTGGGTTTAAGGTGCACTGGTGGTTTCTAACGCGCCTCATGGCACCAGAACACACCACTTCCTGTCCATTTTTTATTTTCGTGATTTCAGAGGCTGTTTTCAATGAAATCCAACTCAAACAGGTGTGGTAAATTATGACACAGATGTTTTCCAGCTGGAACTCTGTGAGATTTATCCTAAAACAGAAAAAAGAAAGGGAGAGAGAGAGAGGTGCAGACTGCTGTAGTTCAGGTCCTTCATTAGCATACCGCTGCCATAGTAACAAGCAACGAAGCCGGAGACGAGCGAGAGAGGAAAGAGAACAGGGAGAGAATAAGGAAAAGAGACAAGAGGAAGGAGGGATGAGGAGGACAAGGGATGGAGGAGGGCGCCAGAAGGGACGAAAAGCAGCGAGAGATGCATTAAATATTAAGAAAAGATGGAGTGAAGGAGAAAGAGGAGGATGAGGATTTGTGATTAGTGGTGGAGAGGAAAGAAGAGAGGAATTAAGAAGGAAAGAAAGACCAAAGATTAAAGGAAAAGAAGGAAATCAGACTAAATATAGGTCAAGAAAAGAAAGGAGGAGGTGGAGGAGAAGAAAGGGAAAGGAAGGAGTTTGGAGAAAGACGGAAAGAAAGGGAGGAAAATAGATTAAAAGAGAGGGAGACAGAATAGACAGGGAGAGAAGAAGAAAAAGAATGGGAGGTACAAAAAAGAACAGATATAAAGAGGGAAAGAGAAAATGATGGAAGAAACGGAGAGAAAAAGAATGGAGACAGAAGGAAAACAAGAGAAAGAGAGAAAAATGGAGAAAGAGAAAGGCAGAAAAATGAGAGAAGTAATACAGAAAAGGAAGGAAGAAATGGGGAAAAAGAAAGGAAAGAGAGGAGGAGGCAAAGGGAAAGAGAGAAAAGCAGAGAAAATAGAGAAAAAGAAGAGAGATAAAGGAACAGACAAACAGAAGTGAAGAAAGAAATAAGATTTTGAGGAAAGTGAAGAAGCAAAGTGGGACGTGAAGGAGAAATGGTGAACAGGCAGAAGAAGAGGGGAGGATTAGAGGAAGGGATGAGAGAGGAGGAGGTGAAGCTGCAGCAGGCTCCTTGGTTTGACTTCTAACACATCTCCTGCTTCCTCCCGTTTATCCTCTTCCTCTGCTCCTATCGTGTCATCTGTATAATTAAATACATGCATTATCCAATTTTCTCGCTCACATTCTGGCAGCGCGCGTTACCCGGCGGAGGTTCAACAAACCGCTTCTGTTCAGCGCTAAGGTCACAGCCTCCGTCGCTCCCCAAGCCTGAAAGACCAGGAAAAGCTCAAACCGAGAGCAGAAACTCCACAGCAAAGTTCTCACATTTACAGGCTTTTTTAGAAATAACTCCTCCACAGTCCCTCAAAGACGGCCAATTGTTCTCATTTTTCTGTTTTTACACGTTAGACAGATGGAAGATCAACACTTTTACACTCCCAGAGGTTTAAAATATTCCAGGAAATTGACACTCAATATCTTCATTCATTTAAGTTTCGCCTGTGTAGTAAATAAAAAAATTTACTCATTTAAATCTGTCTTTTCTTTTATAAATATCACTGCAAAAAACATCTTACCAAGTATTTTTGGTTTAGTTTCTTGCACAACCATCTGAGTACATTTGAAATAAGACAAAGCTAACAAGTAACTTTTCAGCAACATATAGAGGCTTGTTTTACGTAAATAATTCCTTAATATTGATGAAAAAGTTATAGTTCCACTGGCGCCGTCACCTAGCAACCCCAGCCAAGCCCAGCCCGTCGCCTAGCAACCCCAGTTCTAGTTCCACTGGGACATTTCACTTTTTCACATACAAGTAAAATAATCTGCCAAAAGAACTACAACTGTTTTACCAATATTAAGGAATTATTAACTTTAAACAAGCTCCTCTATCTTGCTGAAAAGTTACATTATAAGTTAGTTTTGTCTTATTTCAAGTGTACAAAAAATGTCCACTAAAATTAAGTCTTTTTGCAGTGAGTCACCTTGGTGAATTTTGCAGTGTTTGAAAGAAACTGCAGAAAACACACAAACTCTTATCAAGTATTGTTAGTCTAGTTTCTAGTGCAAATATCCCAGTGTTCTTCAAATAAGACCAAACTGACTTTTAAGGAAGTTTTCAACAAAAAAATAAGACCTTGTTTGAGTCAATTTTTTTTTTTTAATTGATGTAAAACGTCTAGTTCCATTTTCAGAATATTTCACTTATATCAAGATATTTTTCTCATGTGATAAGTCAAATAATCTGCCAATGGAACTAGAACTTTTTACCAATATTAGGGAATTATTTACTGAAAACACGTCTTGCTGAAAAGTTACGTTATAAGTTAGTTTTACTTCACTATGAAATACTGCAGAAAACACAAAATCTTACTGTCTTTTGTCTGGTTCCTAATGTAAAGACCTTACTCAACTTAAAATAAGACAAAACTAACCCAGAAGTAACTTTTCAGCAAGATGTAGGAGCTTTTAAATTAATAACCACTAAATAAACAAAAATAAACAAATGTTTTATAGTGAGATAATCTTCCAGTGGAACTGCTACTTTTTAAATTAATATTAAAACAATCTCGTACATCTTGAGATATTTAGTGGTTTTGCAGTGTATTTTATGTCTTTATCATGTGAAGCACTTTGAATTTTGTTCCTGAAGTCAAGAGACTTGAGAGTCTTAAAGTAAAACACTTTGCAGGAAGGAAAAAAAAAAAAAAAGTCTTGTAAACATCTCCACGTCCATCTTTCCCTCTTCGCACAAAACAAAATGCTGCGGCGCTCGAAGCTGGTAAAACTGTAGTGATTCAGTCTAACACTAACAGATGAGGACGTTCCAGATAAGACGTGCCAGGATCAACTGTTTATGAAACGGGCCCACTCCGATAAGAAATGTTCAAAAGAAAACAAGGACGTGTGGAAATGTACAGCCGTCGCCAAATGTTCCTCCGTCAAAACGTAGCCGAGGATCACGCATGATTGACAGCCGCAGGCGCCGACTCCATCATCTTTTGGCAGGCTGCCTCCTTTAGCTTTTAGCTAAATGTTTGCTTGATAACAGTGGTGTGTCCTTGTGTGAAGGTGGGATGTGCAGCGCTGATGTTTATTCAGTCCATTTATTTAATAGGATGTTTGTTTGAGGGGAAAACACACTTTTAGCATTATCTTATCCACACACACACAGCTTAAAGTGATAGATAACCTTCTGTAGCTGCAGCCCTTTTAGAGTGAGAAGCTAATTTATAGTGTTTGGACTTTTATCCCACACCAAACTAATCACTCTGACGCAGACATGGGACGGCAAAGGCCAAAACAAGCAGGGAAGGAACTACAATGGAAACATGGGAGTGAAACGTGACAGAAGCACTTGTCTGGTTTTTAGGGACATAAAGGGACCTGGTTTAATGTCCAGCAGGGACAAAAGGCTTTGGTTTAATGCCAGAACTATCAAAGGAGGAATTTAATGAGATGTAAATGAAAGCGACCACAACAGCAGGCCGACTACAACTTTGTGACCGCAAAGAAAACAAACAAAAAAAACAAAACAAAGTGCCGTACTCATCTAAGACGTTTTGCAGTAAAGAAATAAAATCTGTAGTGTTGCATCACTGGAGCGTTGTCTGTTTCAGCTGAAATGTATTCAAGTCTATAAAGTTTAGGAAGCCGAGTTGATGAAACCATTTGACATAAACATAATGGTGTTTTTCCCAACCACTGGGGAAAGAAAGCTTCTCTGAGCCATCGGTTGTTTAAATATGACCAGCTGTTTGTGCAAATCCAGAACTCACTTTTAAAAGATTGTGGGGTGCTCGTTGTTTTAGAGCAACATTTAGCTTCATACCAGAGCAAAACCTACAGAAACTCCTACTAGTTTATTACTTAACAACCCAGAACAAGAATCAAACATGGAGGACAAACCAACATTTAGCTTTATACTTTTTAGTTTATTACTTTCGTAAGTAATAAAGTTTCTAATCCCGTTTCTCCGTCTGGTTTCAGTTTGTAGCGCAGCCGAACTGCCAGCAGCTGCTGGCCACTCTGTGGTACGACGGTTTCCCGGGCTGGAGGAGGCGACACTGGGCCGTCAAACTGGTGACCTGCTTCATCATCGGACTGCTGTTCCCAGTCTTCTCACTGGTAAGAGTAAAACTGGAGCACCACTCATAAAGTTTATCTGGCTAATAAACGCAAGGAGACAGAAGACAGAATAAGCTCCAAATCATCTGAGTCTAATGCCACATTTTCTCAGGTAGTCACTGATTTTTTTTTTTTTTTTTTTTTTTTACCCCCCCCGGAAAAAAAAAATCAGCCCCCCAAAGGGGCAAACCAAATTGGT